GCGACGGCTTCTGTGCTTTGCGTATAGTCACCTCGTCCTCCCCACCTTATGAGGCAGGTGAAGACACGGTTCTTTGTTTTACAGAGAGGACAATTTGCCCAAGAGCACACAGTGAATGACCTAATAAGGATTCAAACCCAAGTCCCTCTGAGAAGTCAAAGCGCTTCAGAGTGCTTACAGGCCCCCTGTAAGTGCCCCAGTCGTGTTTCCTAAGCTTGTACAAATACAGGCCATTCTTGGTTAGTTGAAAATAGTTTTAGAGTATTAGGCCAGGACCCACCCTGGGGAGATAACTGAACACACTGAGGTGGAATTCCTGTAGCAAGTGGAGGGAACCGAGGGGGGTGCAAGACAGAACCAGGACAATGAGCTTTTCAGTAGGTCTCAGAGAAACAGGCAACAATACCAGGGCAAATCTCATACAACTGGTCCAGGAGAAAGTTTCAATTAGTTCAAATTTTCATGCAACAGCTCTTAAGGAAACTTTGATGGTTATTTTTAAAAATCCAGAAGTTCTGAATACACTAGTCAAATAAAATCACACCCTATAATTCTACACCAGGCATGTGGCATGGTTTCTGTAGCTGCCAGTAACAAACGAAGAGAAACTACAAAAACCTTTTGTGCATCTGAAAAAGGAAGTGTGAGAGACATTGGAAATTCAGTATGTCAGACAAAGCAGTCTCCTAAAGCTGCAGGACAGTGGACCACTCAATCTTGTCTAAGCTCCCGTGTAAGAATTTGCTATATGAGATGGCAGCTTGGGTCAGACATTATGTATGGCCTTTGGTATTTTCACAGCATTGCATATGAAATTTCGCTTTCTGAAATATCTGTATTAGTGGATAGCTTTTATTACTGCACTGGACAGGAAGTTACAACTTTAAACACTGTAGCATCTTTGCTTCTATCTTCACTTTATGTTTTTTCACCCTTTTGTTGGTCTTTGGTAGTTTCCTCTATTTGCAACTTTCTACAAGTCAAGTCCTGTGTATATTGCTTATATTAATAATGCATCCTCTCCTACAACAGGCAGATTCTGTTCCCTCCTAACTAGTTTCCCAGCTACAAGGGGTTATTTTGTTCTTTATCTTCCTTGACATCGGAGAATATCACAGATAACTTTTCAAGTCTTGATTTTTAGAGGACTAAAAATCTATCAGGCTATGAGGATTTAAGAAGATAAAGTAGTGTTTTTCCTTGGCATTTAGTACATTAATCAGACTGATCAAGACTTGTACGTGAACAAAGTTTAGCTTGGAGTTCTGTATTCTCTTTATATGCAACTCCTGTTATTTCTTGTGGTTTAATAGAACTTTTCAGGTACAGAGACCTTTAGTAGCCCCAGAAGTTAAATTGCAGGGCTGCACTGCGTTATGCAAGTGGATGAGGAGGCTGGTGGAAAGCAAGTTGTCACCAGGCCCACTGGTGTAAAGAGGACATCTGTGTTAGAACACTAAAGCTGGGGATTCCTCCAGTCATCCGTAAGAATCTCAAAAAACCTTGCCCCATGCAAAAGCCAGGAACTAAAGCAAGATCAGAGCAAGACATAGCTAAGGCATCTCCAATATTAATATAAGAATGAATAGTTTCCAACAAATAACAATAAAAGGGCGCCTTGTAGTCCTCATGGGTCTCGGCCACGAATTCCGACACGGAGATCTGGTCCGGCATCGCCTCGGCGCGCGGACGGCCGGCCGCCTCAGCCGCCGCGCGGGCTCCGACCCGCCGCTCGGACGCCGCCGCCTGCGCCGCGTCCGCAGCGCACCAGGGCCGCGGACAAAGGGAAGCGCCGGGCGCGGGCCGCCCCGCAGGAGCCGCCGCAGGACGCGGTCTGCAGTCCGCGGGGCCCGGCGGCGGGAGCAGGGGCCGCGCGCAGCCCCGCGCAGCTCGGGCCCGGCCGGTCGCCCGCCGCGCCTGAGGCTCCGCCGCCGCCGCCTGCCCTCGCGAGCGAGCCCCGAGGCGGACGCGCAGAGCCGGCGGGAACTGCCGGCCACCCAGCCGCGGGCCCGAGCGACTCCCGCGGAGAGGGGCGGGTCCGAGCCGGGGGCGGGGGCGGGCCGCGCGCTGGGCGGGGCGGCGCGGAGGGCCAGGCCGCCAATCCGCGCGCTCGCCGCCGCCGCCGCCGCCGCCGCCGCCGCCGCCGCCGAGAAGCCGAGCCCGCAGGAAGGAAGGAAGGCGGCGCGCGCCCCGGCCCGCCGACCTCCTCGCCCGCCGCGGCGCGCCGCATTGTCTCGGCGTTCGGGCCCCGCGCCGCGCGCTGGGGCTCGAGGGTGCGCCCCGTCGGGCAGGGCCGGTCTGCGGGCGCCGCGTCGGAGCTTCCACCCGACGGCTTAGGCCCCGACTCCCACCCCGGATCTGCGAGGCGCCCGCAGAGTGTGCAGGACACCCTCCCGGGCCGAGCTGCCTCCAGCCCCCTGGTCCCCACCCGACCCGACCCCGGGCTTGGAACCTTTTTTGGGGTCCTCCCTAAATCGCAGGGAATGCCCATCCAGGAGAGGGAGAACGCATGAGGAGAGCGCCCCCTACAGGCCTCTGCGCTCCGCCCTGGGCCAGCACCGCGCCACCCACTCACTCCTGCGCCCAGCCAGGCAGCACCCACCGCGGGCTTGAGGCTCTATAACAAGATACGACCGTGTAGCGACGGCTTCTGTGCTTTGCGTATAGTCACCTCGTCCTCCCCACCTTATGAGGCAGGTGAAGACACGGTTCTTTGTTTTACAGAGAGGACAATTTGCCCAAGAGCACACAGTGAATGACCTAATAAGGATTCAAACCCAAGTCCCTCTGAGAAGTCAAAGCGCTTCAGAGTGCTTACAGGCCCCCTGTAAGTGCCCCAGTCGTGTTTCCTAAGCTTGTACAAATACAGGCCATTCTTGGTTAGTTGAAAATAGTTTTAGAGTATTAGGCCAGGACCCACCCTGGGGAGATAACTGAACACACTGAGGTGGAATTCCTGTAGCAAGTGGAGGGAACCGAGGGGGGTGCAAGACAGAACCAGGACAATGAGCTTTTCAGTAGGTCTCAGAGAAACAGGCAACAATACCAGGGCAAATCTCATACAACTGGTCCAGGAGAAAGTTTCAATTAGTTCAGATTTTCATGCAACAGCTCTTAAGGAAACTTTGATGGTTATTTTTAAAAATCCAGAAGTTCTGAATACACTAGTCAAATAAAATCACACCCTATAATTCTACACCAGGCATGTGGCATGGTTTCTGTAGCTGCCAGTAACAAACGAAGAGAAACTACAAAAACCTTTTGTGCATCTGAAAAAGGAAGTGTGAGAGACATTGGAAATTCAGTATGTCAGACAAAGCAGTCTCCTAAAGCTGCAGGACAGTGGACCACTCAATCTTGTCTAAGCTCCCGTGTAAGAATTTGCTATATGAGATGGCAGCTTGGGTCAGACATTATGTATGGCCTTTGGTATTTTCACAGCATTGCATATGAAATTTCGCTTTCTGAAATATCTGTATTAGTGGATAGCTTTTATTACTGCACTGGACAGGAAGTTACAACTTTAAACACTGTAGCATCTTTGCTTCTATCTTCACTTTATGTTTTTTCACCCTTTTGTTGGTCTTTGGTAGTTTCCTCTATTTGCAACTTTCTACAAGTCAAGTCCTGTGTATATTGCTTATATTAATAATGCATCCTCTCCTACAACAGGCAGATTCTGTTCCCTCCTAACTAGTTTCCCAGCTACAAGGGGTTATTTTGTTCTTTATCTTCCTTGACATCGGAGAATATCACAGATAACTTTTCAAGTCTTGATTTTTAGAGGACTAAAAATCTATCAGGCTATGAGGATTTAAGAAGATAAAGTAGTGTTTTTCCTTGGCATTTAGTACATTAATCAGACTGATCAAGACTTGTACGTGAACAAAGTTTAGCTTGGAGTTCTGTATTCTCTTTATATGCAACTCCTGTTATTTCTTGTGGTTTAATAGAACTTTTCAGGTACAGAGACCTTTAGTAGCCCCAGAAGTTAAATTGCAGGGCTGCACTGCGTTATGCAAGTGGATGAGGAGGCTGGTGGAAAGCAAGTTGTCACCAGGCCCACTGGTGTAAAGAGGACATCTGTGTTAGAACACTAAAGCTGGGGATTCCTCCAGTCATCCGTAAGAATCTCAAAAAACCTTGCCCCATGCAAAAGCCAGGAACTAAAGCAAGATCAGAGCAAGACATAGCTAAGGCATCTCCAATATTAATATAAGAATGAATAGTTTCCAACAAATAACAATAAAATTAAAGTTGATTGTGGATCAGGAAAACATTGCACACGCTTCTGTTTAATGCACGAAGAGAACATACCAATGACACCAGTATAGGCCTATACTTCAGAACTTTAAAATCGAAATAGCCCTGAAAATCTAAAGTTTTAAAAATAACTTTTATTGGTAAAATTGACCTGAAAATAACTGACATGAAGCTATTTATAGTCTTGTTTATCCCACTTCATATGAATTTCCCTGAAAAACATAAATGTGCTTCATTATGGGACACTGCTGCAGACCCCACTGGAGGTGACTTGGAATACCTGATATGTGTGCTATATTACCTTTCTAAAACCTGAAAAATTCTGAATTCCACACACACTGGGAGTTTCAGATAAGAGGTTGTAAGCTTGTATTATTTTTTTTAAAAAAGAAAGAAAAATTAAAAGAAATGTGGTGTTGCAGACTTGTCATTTCCAGGGAAGAGGAAAGAAACTCTCCTCTCAAAGTGAAGTTCTCAGCAGCCAATTGACAGTGGCCAATAGCCCATTTTCCAAAGGAATTTCATGCCTCCAGTAGTTCTCAAGAACCTGAGATTTTTCACTCTCCGATCAAGGTGTAAAATATGTTCTTAGCTCTGAAATTTGCTTGAGGGTTGGCCGGTTTAACACAAGACTTATCCAGTTTCACTTGGTATTAATTTGTAAATGATTACTCTTGGAAAAGACAGATCTGTGCCTTAAAAGGACTGTGGAAAATGGTGTAATGAAAAAGGGGGGGAAAACAGCAACCAATAAAACACCCCGAGTGATATGAACATGTAGGCATAATCAGAAGTTTCTTTTCCATAGCTTAATGATGCTCTCCCCCAACAATGTTACTAAAGGGACCCATTTATCCCCAAAGTGAGAGAACTTTGAATTCATTTACCAGTGATCTCAACTTAGCACTTTAGGGGGGGAAATTAGCACACAGAAACTATTCTACAAATGAAAACTTAGATTTTGATATCAGCTTCGCTTCTCTGTGACTGCAGATAAGTAAATTAACCCCTCTAGACCCAGCTCACTTGCAAAATGAAAGAAGCTGGACTAACTAATTTCAAAGGCTTCTTCCTGTCCTGGCATCCCCTGGTTCCACAGCACATGTTTTATGTCAGTTTGGGCACAAGAGGGAGAATTCCACAAGGGCCACGTTGCTACCGAGAATCTAATCAGTGGTCCTAGGCATTTGAGAATGAGCATATTTTCGATGACATTTAAAGCTAATTTTTGAAAATGTCATTTTAAGTTGATAGATTTAGGTGACAAACCGACAAATTCATAGCTGAACTTCACATTAAGATACTTGACATCTGTTCATTTTTATTTGTTTGTTTTAACAAAGCAGTTTCTATAGGTGACACTCTTGTTGAACTGCAAGAGGCAGTTCCAGAAAAATGAGGTAGAATATATACTGTGCTGAAGTGAGCTACCGCTGATTCCAGAGAACTGACTGTTAAATTTTCGGAAATTTTGCAAACTGCCACTTGTATCTCTCTGGTAGAAATACTACTAGGATGATATACTACTGCACACGTCTTCCCAACTCTACATTCTGGTAGACTAAAATTATCCATTGTAGGAGCATTTACACCAGGGAAACTGTCAAATGCTAAAAATCAAGGCTTTATCATTTTATTGTCTAAACTTAATAAAATGATGGAGAAAATGTTAATAATGCAAATTAAACTAGAAGTGTGCCATGCCTGTAGCCGTTACATTGTGAGCAGTGAAAATACTTGAGGTAATATTTTTCCAATATTTGCAAAAGGTGGTATGATTCAGCCGAGAGACTGCTTGCATCACCGGCGCAGGAGTGAAATCACAGCATACATTTCAGGCCTGCACTTTTGTCTTATTCATTATCATAGAAAAAATGTTGAGCAACATTTATGTCAGAACTACACTCATTTGTCAGTGACATGAGCAAGTTCTTTGCTTAAGTGGATAATAATCAAGCATTTACTCATAATCTTTTTTGTCAAATTGTGGTTGAATTGCAAACACTGATTGGCTATGAATACAAGAGTTTGGCAAAAAGCAATGAAAGCATTCTGTAAGAATCAATTAGCTATGTGGAATTTCCAATAAAAAGTATTGTGAAAGTTGTTATTACTTATAAACTGGGTGCTACACATTTTTTTTATTGGTGAAAATTAAAATAAACTTAGGTATGTACACACATTTTTTTCTGAGACAGGAAGTTGTTAAACATTTACCAGCCTCCTACTGGGTATGATTGTATTGCTGCTGCCAGGAGGCAGAGCATTAGACCTTCCCACCCTGAGTCATGCTTATGGGATAAAGCCCACAGGATAAAACCTCATAAATTGGACTAAACACGCAAGGGTAACTTGTGTTAATTAAAATTGTCCTAGAGTAATTAAGAAAATGCCATTCATTGTTTCCAAGTGCTTAGAACAACATAATCAAGAACCCAGAGAGGGTGTGGTCTGTTTTAATGAGAAAGCAAAGAATGTTTAATTAGCCTCCTGTATGTAAATAGTTTTTCTACAGCTTTTACAGAGTGTGTGCAGTTACTTAGATCCATTCTTAGGTTTTGTAGGATCCCTCTTGGGTGGCACAGACTTGTAAATCATCTGCAGGGGCTTCCAAAGACTAAGGTGCTCCAGTGGTTCCCTGTTGGCCCCAGAATAAAGCTGAAACTCCTTAGTCACAATCTGTCCCAGGATTTTCCCTAACTCCTGTTAACTTCTCCCTGCCTTGTTCTCATTTAGGGTTGGCAAACTGTAGCACAGGGGCCAGATATGACCCTGCAGTCTGATTTTGTACTGCTCTTAACCTCAAAAGAATGGTTTTGACATTTCCTAATCGTTGAAAAAAAATCAGAAAAATATTTCGTGACATGTGAAAATGATAAGAAACTCAGGGTGGAGTATTCATAAAGTTTTATTGGCACACAGCCACACCCGTTCATTTTCATCTGTGGTGGTGGAGTTGATTAGATACAACAGACATCGAATGGCCCATATAAATGTTGACAGTCCTATCTGGCCCTTTTCAGAAAAAGTTTGCCAACCCCATTGTAACCACACTAAACTTCTCATTTTTCTCA